TATTGTAGCTTTGGATTGTATGCCACTTTTTTACATGATCTAAGAGATTAATGCATTAAAAATGAGTAGTCTATGTTTTTGAACACATAATGCATAAAGATCTAATTTTAAGACACTAACAATTGAAAGGACTACAAAATTTTAAAGAAGCAGAGTTTTTGCGTGTTGCTAAAGTTAAAATGGTATAACTTCAAATTAGAGTATTACAACTTTAAGATGTTAAATGTAATCTTCCTGACATCCAGAAAGAATTTAGCTACAGAATATAAACGAAAAGAAATAAGAAGGTAGAATTAGACTGTTTCACTCAAAAACCAACACAAAAGATAGCAATACAAAAAATGAGGGACAAAAAAGCTATAAGACATACAGAAAATAAACACCAGATGACAGAAGTAAGTCATTACCAGGAATCACTTTAACTGCAAATGGATTAAACTCTCCAATCAAAAGATAGAGATTCGGAGAATGGATTAAATAAACAAACAAAAAGCATGACTCAGTCCTATGCTGTCTATAAGAAATTCTTTAGATCTAAATACACAAACAGATTAAAAATGAAAAGAAAAAAAAAAAGATATTCCATGAAAATACAGTAGTCCCCCTTATCAGCGAGGGATAATAACTCTCCTAATAGGTGCCTGAAACCATGAACAGTACCAAACCCTATATAGCCATCCTTAAAGTATCTGTGGGAGATTGGTTTCAAGATTTTGTGATACCAAAATCCACAGATGCTCAAGTTCCTTATATAAAATTGCTTACTATTTGCATATAACCCACACATATCCTGAAGTATACTTTATTTTAAATCATCTTATAATATCTAACACAACAATGTAAATGTTATGTAAACAGTTATACTGTATTGGTTTTCCATTTGTATTTTTTGTTATTTTCTATTGTGTTTTAAAAAATATTTTCAATCCACAGTTGGTTGAATCCACAGATGTGAAATCTATAAATATAAAGGGCCAACCGCATATACTATGTTTTTTCCTGTGCATCTATACCTACAATAAAATTTGATTTCTAAATTAGACATATCTGTTACAAATAGATATAAAAAGTAGATTAACAACACTAATAATAAAACAGAACAATTGTAACACTATATTGTAATAAATTATGTGAATGTGATTATCTCTCCCTCTCTCTCTCAAAATATCTTATTGTGCTGTACTCACCTACCTTTGGACCATAGCTGACCTAAGCTAGTGAAAACACAGAAAGCCAAACCATGAATAAAGGAAGGACTACTGTAGCAACCAAAAAGACAGAAAGGGTGGCTATACTAATACCAGACAAAACAGATTTTGAATGAAAAAAGGGCTAAAGAGACAAAAAAACCATTTCTAACAAAAGGTTCAATACAGTAAGAAGATATAACAATTATAAACATTTATATACCTGAAAATAGACCATCAAAGTATATGAAGTAAAAACTGACAGAACTGAGAGAAGAAATAGACCATTCTACAATGATAGCTGGAGATTTCAATACCCTATACTCTCAGCAATAGATACGCAAGCAGACAGAAGTAAGGCATTAGAAGACTTGAACAACACAATAAACAACTGGATCTAACACATATATAAAATCATCTACGTAACAACAACAGAGTACACATTTTTTTAAGCACACATGGGACATTTTCCAGGATGGATAAAATGTTAGATCACAAATTAAATCTCAATACGTTTAAAAGATAGATACAAAGTATCTTTTCCAACTATATCAGGATGGAGTTAGAAGTCAGTAACAGAAAGAAAACCAAAAAAAATCCACACATTTGTGGAAATAAAATAACAGACTCTTAAACAACCAATGAATCAAAGAAAAAAAATCACATGGGAAATTAGAAAACATTTAAAGATGAATGAAAAAAAAAAAAAAACCCACACAACATATCAAAATTTATGGGATGCAGCAGAAACAGTGCTAAGGGGGAAGTTTAAAGCTACAAATGCTTACATTAAATTAGAAGAAACGGTTCAAATCAACAACCTAACTTCATAACTTAAGGAATTAGGGGGGAAAAAACTGAACTCAAAGCAAGCACAAGGAGGGAAAAAAATAAAGGTTAAAGCAAAGACAAATACAACAAAACAGAAAACAAAACAAAAATCACCCCAAAAGTTAGTTTTTTGAAAAGATTAACAAAATTGACAAATCTTTAACTAGAATGACTAAGAGCAAATGTATAAGGAATGAGAGGAATCAAAATCACCATAAGAACACTACAGTAGTAATTATTGTAGACAAAAAACACTGATATGGATGCTAAAATTAGTAGATGGAAGTTTAAGAAATAAGATATTTCATAGTCTCATCATATTTCTTTTAAGATGTTTATTCTATTTTATTTTACTTTTTTGACTTATAGTCTCACTCTGTCGCCCAGACTGGAGTGCAGTGGCCAGTCGCCCGGACTGGAGTGCAGTGGCCACTCCCGGCCACCACAGCCTCGACCTGCTGGGCTCCGGCGATCCTTCCGCCTCAGCCTTCCAAGTAGCTGGAACTACAGGCTACCACATCCAGTTAATTTTTGATTTACTGCACACGCTACCACATCCAGTTAATTTTTGATTTATTTTAAAGATGAGGTCTCACCAAGTTGCCGAGGCGGGTCTGAAACCCGCGGGCTCAGGCAATCCACTCACCTCAGCCTCCCAAAGGCACGGGATTACAGGCTGAGCCACCAAGCTCAGCTTAAGATGTTTATTAATTACAAAGGGAAAGGTAATAACTTTACAGTGAAGAAACCCAGGAGACGCCACTTTAATCAAGTGATCAAGGTTAATGTCACCAGTAAAAAGAGATATCAATATCATTTACTCCTTGATATGATGCTCTGAGAAGAGCACATTAGGATCCAAAATACCAGGTCTAGTCAGACTCCAAACCTTCATAATATAATTATCTTGCTATAAAGAAACATATTTTCTTTCAAGAAATTGATATATTTGTTGGAGGAAAGCAGTAAGGAATTACATCAATCAGAATATTCCATCACTTGTGAAATATACCTAATTCTGTATAGTTACTCTGAAAAGTAATAGAAGTTATTAGTGAGATAGGACAGTGTCTAATAGGACATTCTCAAGTGTGAAGAATAAAAATTAAATAATGGGATCCAAGTGAAGTTAGTACATAACAGGAAAACACAATGGACCTGAGGAATACTAATGTTTGATACACAGTGGGTAGTAATAATAATCACAGTACATATTTATAACAATAATCTATTTATTTTCATTTAATACTATTGTTATTTAAATTCAATTTTATTTAATTTGTTAAATTTATTTAAGGATGGCGGCAACACTGTTACATTTATTTATTCATTTAACCCTGACATTAACCCTATGAAATGGGTGGGTATTATTATTATTATTATTATTATTATTATTATTATACCCATTTTACAAATAAGGAAATAAAGGCATAAAAAGTTGAGTAATTTGCTTGAGATCATTTACTAAGTGGCAGAGCATACACTATGCTATACTGCTTTTCAGAAAATCTCAGTTTAATTAATAATAAGTACTATGCTAAATATATATCCTAATCCTTATACTATTCCTGCCCAGAAGTTTTATTCTACCAATTAAAAAATGCCCAAAAGTAAAGCTCTGATGGGCTGCCTAACACAAAAATGGAGGATATTTAGCCTGTTTGGCTTCTACCTGGTAACTGTCAGAAATGCCCCTCCCCCACCCCAGTGTCACTGTGATAAGCAAACATTTCCAAATGCTCCTAAGAGAACAGCACTCCTCTCAAAAAACTAGTTGTTAAAGGTTATTAAGTGGGATGAACCTAGGTCCATATGATTCCAAAGTAAATTATTTTTTCCATTGAGAGACCTGTGAAAAAGTTGAGATTAAAACCAATGTACAAAGATAAGGGGAACATAGTTTCATCAAGTATATGAAGCAAAATGCTCCAGATGAGAAAACTTACAGTAGTAAACAACAGGATGTTAAAGTAGTCTATAAAGCATGACAATAATATTGTATATCATCAGTTGAATTAAGTAAGATACAAAGCATGGACCAGTTTGTAAAATATATCAAATTTATCTACTGAGAAAATTGGGATTCAATTCAGAACTAAGAGTGAGAACTGGCATCATTAACATTAATTATTTGCAAAGGTCTAACTTGAATAAAGGTGTGAAGATGAGAGTTAAAGACACTCGAAAGAATTTTCAAAGACTTTCATTTCTTTTTTTTCTTTTTTTTTTTTTTTTGAGTTGGAGTCTCCCTCTGTCACCCAGACTGGATGGAGTGCAGTGGCCACTCCCGGCCACCACAGCCTCAACCTGCTGGGCTCTGGTGATCCTTCCGCCTCAGCCTTCCAAGTAGCCAGAATTACAGGCATGCGCTACCACGCCCGGCTGATTTTTTGATTTATTGTAGAGATGAGGTCTCGCTGCCCAGGCGGGTCTCGAACCCACCGGCTAAGGCAATCCACTCACCTCAGCCTCCCAAAGGCATGGGATTACAGGCTGAGCCACTGAGCCCGGCTAAAGACTTTCATTTCTTTCAGTTTCACCATTCCAGTATTTTCACATCTACTTAGGATGCTTTTCCATCCAACATTATGTAAGTTTTATAACTTATGAGTACCAAATCATTACACTATTCTAGTCAGTCTTTTATTTAATGAAAATTCAGAACAATGCTAATATAATTAGTAATATAGACCACAAAAATACAGTAAAACTTTATCCCAAACACAAAAACAGAATAAACCTCTCTATTTCCTCAAAGGAATAAAAAATCTTTAATTTATAAAACACAGATAATATTATAAACTTTTAAAACCTTTAACATTATAAATAAATATTAATACACAAATGTAATTATAGCAGTAGTCTACAATCATGTTTTAGCTGTTTATGGAATTTCTTGACTTTAGTATGTAAATTCATGAGCACACACAAGTGTGCACACAGCAAAAAAAAATTTAGTAATCAACTCTAATAATCAGTTACCTTTGCAATAATGACTTCTTTCTTCAGAATCTTCATGGCATAATATTTTCCACTTGCCTTCTCTCGAACCAAAATAACTTTCCCAAAAGTGCCTTTACCTAGTAGTTTCAAATAGTCAAAATCATTCATTGTCTGAAAAACACAAATTAAAAAAATACACTATAAAGTATTTCTTAGCATACATATACATGTTTGCAATATCCACTCAAAAACAAATTTTACTAATTTCTAGATACCTTTAAATGAAAAAAAAAAATCAGAGTGGCATTGGTTGTCCCATCAGCAATCATGGGTGCTGAAAATAATTTAAGCAATGCTCAGATATTTTAGGAAATGATTTTGAACATAGAATTCACCAGCCAGTCAAACTATCTGTCAAGTAAAGGGCAAAAGTGGGAAGAAAAGCATTTTCACTCATTTTCAAGAACTTGAGTTTTCTAGAATCCAGCAGTGTTGCTACCCCTAAACAATGTGATAATAAAAAATGTCCCACACAAACATTTCCAAATATGCCTAAGGAAACAATACTTGGGAAGAATTTACTCCAGAAAAGAAAGAATAGAATCTAGGAAAGGAAAAGACATATATATAAGAAATATTACAAACAACCATGCAGAGTTAGTAAAAAGAAATCTAAAAAAGACAACAGTTGTAACTCCTGAGGGTCATTGGTGCAGTTTAGAACAGGAAGGTAGGGAGTTCTAAAAACAGTATCTAAGTAATCTGCCTGTTTTAGTTTCATTTCTCATTCCCAAATCAGGCGATTCCCAGAATTCTGCCAGGCAGACCTGCCACTTGCTCTCTACAGTGTGCCCTTTTCTACTCTGTTCTATCAATCAACATCTTTTCATAAACTTCCAAACTTTTGAGATCACTTGTCTGTTAATGTCCCTCCCAGCCCAGTTTTTCAATTTTGTGGATTGACTCTTTTTGAAATTCCTTTATTATCATTTTAATGGGGTCTGGGATAGAAAGAGAAGTAACTGTGTATGCTCAGTTGACTTAAATTTAAATTCCGTTTAGAGGTTTTGGAATAACAAATTAAGAATGTGGGTTTTATTCTACAATCAGAAGCCACTAAAAACGTGAGTGCCTTTTGCAACTATTTTTTCTTCTTTTTACCATCCATCTAAAGTAAATGTGAGAAATGTTTCCAACTCCATGACCTCAGATTCCACCTTAAGGAACTAGAAACAGAGTAAATCAAGTCCTCCAAAATCAGAAGAAAGAAAATGATAAAGATCAGAGAAGAAGTTAAATTTTTAAAAGAAAGAAAAAAGGTAGAGGGAGATCAATGAAACTAAAAGTTAGTTCTTTGAGAAGATCAGTAAAAACTGATAAACCTCTAGCCTGGTGGGTCAAAAAAATAAAGAATAAAGAATTCTTTTTTTTAACACATTTTTTATTTTAAAATTGTGGGGTACAGTTAAGGGTTAGGTATACAAATATGCATCATTCAGGCACCCTTGTTGATAAGGGGTGTCTCCCCGACCCCAGACAGATATTGACTACCATTAATCTCACCTCCCTTCCCCTTCATACCCCCCCCATAGTTTCCCACCACTGTCAATCCTTTTCTTATAGTTTTATGATAGATGTTCAAGGTCCACTATATGAGTGAGAACATGTGATACTCAGATCTTTCTTTCTGTGAGAGATCACTCAGTATTATAGACTCTAGTTCCATTCAGGTTGCTGCGAAATTCATGATTTTGTTCTTTTTTATGGCTACATAGTATTCCATCATGTATATGCACCACATTTTTTTAATCCAGTCCTCTTTTGATGGACAGCATGGTTGGTTTCAGGTT